ACGAGAACATACTAGGCGAAGTTGATAAGGCCTATTAGCTCGTATTGTTGGCCAAAGACATGTTCGAGCGCTTACGTACGCTTGTGAGACCTTCTACAACGCACAGTCGTGGCCAAGCAGGCCAGAAATCCATCGTAAATATCGTTGGCCAACGGCTAAGAAACCTTCTATCTTGGCTCTTCTAGTTCGTACCTATATGTATTGAAATATTAACAGCACGTGACCGGTCTAGTCTATATGTCGTTGGTCAATGGCTATGAAACCTTCTTTCTGGGCTCTTCCGGTTCGTATCTATACGGATTGAAATATTTACAGCACGTGACCGGTCTAGTCTATATATCGTTGGCCAACGGCTAAGAAACCTTCTATCTTGGCTCCTCTAGTTCGTACCTATACGGATTGAAATATTTACAGCACGTGACCGGTCTAGTCTATATATCGTTGGCCAACGGCTAAGAAACCTTCTATCCTGGCTCTTCTAGTTCGTACCTATACGGATTGAAATATTAACAGCACGTGACCGGTCTAGTCTATATGTCGTTGGTCAATGGCTATGAAACCTTCTAACTGGGCTTTTCTGGTTCGTACCTATACGGATTGAAATATTAACAGCACGTGACCGGTCCAGTCTAGATACCATTGGCCAACGGCTAAAAAACCTTCTTTCTGGGCTCTTCCGGTTCGTATCTATACGGATTGAAATATTTGCAGTACGTGACCGGTCTAGTCTAGATACCATTGGCCAACGGCTAAGAAACATTCTATCTGGGCTCTTCTAGTTCGTACCTGTATGGATTGAATTATTTGCAGTACGTGACGGTCCAGTCTAGATACCATTGGCCAACGGCTAAGAAACCTTCTAACTGGGCTTTTCTGGTTCGTACCTATACGGATTGAAATATTCACAGCACGTGACCGGTCCAGTCTAGATACCATTGGCCAACGGCTAAGAAACCTTCTATCTTGGCTCTTCTAGTTCGTACCTATACGGATTGAAATATTTACAGCACGTGACCGGTCTAGTCTAGATACCATTGGCCAACGGTTAAGAAACCTTCTTTCTGGGCTCTTCCGGTTCGTATCCATACGTATTGAAATATTTGCTGTACGTGACCGATCTAGTCTAGATACCATTGGCCAACGGCTAAGAAACCTTCTTTCTGGGCTCGTCCGGTTCGTATCTATACGGATTGAAATATTTGCAGTACGTGACCGGTCTAGTCTAGATACCATTGGCCAACGGCTTAGAAACATTCTATCTGGGCTCTTCTAGTTCGTACCTATATGGATTGAATTATTTGCAGTACGTGACCGGTCCAGTCTAGATACCGTTGGCCAACGGCTAAGAAAACTTCTAACTGAGCTCTTCTGGTTCGTACCTATATGTATTGAATTATTCGCAGTACGTGACCGGTCTAGTCTAGATGCCGTTGGCAAACGGCTAAGAAACCTTCTATCTGGGCCCTTCTGGTTCGTACCTATACTGGTTGAAATATTTGCAGTACTTGACCGGTCCAGTAGTTAAGAGTTGCTGATAGACTCGAAGCGTGGTCAATGATCAACCGCCTGTCGTATTCTAGCGTTCTGAATGCTCCTTAATCCAACCTTCGGACCACTGTACTCCAACATCAATCGAACCCGAGGCCTGCAGCCAGGAAGTTCAGGTCAAGGTTCCCAAGTATAACCTTGAAGCCCAAGGTAGTTACATCGGTTATGAAGTTGGAAAACCAAAAACAAATTCCCTATTCAAACCAACTTGAGTGTACTTGCACGATGCCTGATAAGTGCTGTCTACTCCTGCATGTACTATTTCTTCTGTTCCTTGTAAGAGTCCGCTGCATCTTGACGATTCGCCTTATACGTCGGTTTTTAAAATGATCCCCATCATACCGACCACGAACAACGAACAATTCTTTCCCGACCAATGTAGTAAACACATCAAAATACGATACTAAAAGGGATGCCCTTATGCTCATCAGAGATTTTCTATAATGATGTTTGTGTACTCCCGGCACTTCGGCTCCGAGATTAATTTCCATCTGTAATGTTTTTGTGTCCCTCGCTGAGTTCAGATTCTCTCCTTGGTTGATGCTGGGATAAACATTGTCGAGCCTCCGGCATTTTATCGTAGTTGTATGTTTGGTAAACAATCTTGGTTTACTGTGATCAATAATGTTAAGGAGGACTTTATGAAGAAATCTCGAAAGTCTAGGGATCGGTTCAAGTCATACATTAAGGGCATCCGTCAGTTCGTCAATGATGAGAATAATAGATGCCAGAACCGATTAGCACCGGCACATCCTTAGGCTGGTGGGCGTGCAGGATTTTCGAGATTCCTAATGAATTTTCGAGACTAAGGTGCCGTGAATTTTGGCGGGCCCCGAATGATGAGTCATGATTCCGGAAACACATATCGGGTTTTTATTTCAGGGCCCAAGCCAGGGTTATTCGTATACAACCAGGTCCTGATAATTTTTGAATGATTCTGCATGGCTCGTACTTAAATCGTCTACGTATTTTCACGAACAAAGCAAAATGTCTACGAATATATAGAGACAATGACGTCATGAGAAAGTTCGAGAGCATCGTGAAGAGGGGCTTCTAGGTCCGTGCCTTTCCCTTCACTACGAGTGCTATAGTTATAGTTTATAGCCTAGGTTGTTAGTAGTACAAGTTCGTTATAGAGATAGGTGCCCGCGGACTATATAAGCATTCCACGTCCAGCGTTAGAGTTCAGACTTCCACTAAGAATATAAGGAACAGAAGGACGAAGAGGACTAAAGACTGCTTGTATCGTAATCCTAAATAAAGCTTCTACTACCGGATTTGGGAATTTGAATTTTTGGCGCCGAAATTGTGATAACTTGTTGTAAACATGACTACCCGCAGGGGGTGAGCCGAGCTCGGTAGGCTTCGCCGTTTTAGACCCGTTCTCCTCGCCACACTTCATAGAAGTAATCACAGTTAAATACGACAGTGGTAGTAGTCCTAAATTAGGATTTAGTATAAGAATGCAGTACGAATTATCATCAGAACTATCTAGGTTGTATATTCCAAAATTGACCAATACAATTGAAGATTCTAAAGATCAATATTCATTGGTCCACCAGGTGTGGGGATGTCTGCTATTTGAAAGTCCCCAGTATATTCCAAATTTCCAGTTTTGACAGAATTCCACAATTCACGTACAAAATACGCATCACAGCGTTTATGACCCTGTGGGTGATAATCATTTTTGGGCCGATTTTGGATTTGGCGAATAAGGACCGAACTTTTAAAAAATTCGAGGAACCTTAAAGGTTCTAAAAAAAAAAAGACAAAAAATGTACAATCGCCATGCAAATCTTTACTATAAATGAATCCTCATAATCTGTTTTTCGAAGAGTTCATTCTGAACAAAACGAGGGGTTATTTATATTCGTAACAGGAGACTGTTGTCAAATAAATAAATATGGGACTTCAAACTTCAGAATATAGACGACAATATGTAAAATTCCTATTCACTCTTACTGCATTTGCGTTCGGGGTCTATTTTGGACATACGATCATTGTCAGTTCTGTAGATCCTAACTCCTTAGAATTGCCGAGATGCCCAAAAACAAATACCCCACCGAAAACGGTCTATGAAGCTCGACAGAACCTTGCTCAGAGTTTAATGCAGGTTTGGGAGCTGGATAAGGATGAAGAAGCATTCAAGCAAGGCGGAAAATCTGCCCCTCGCTCCATGTTGGATTTATTTATATCAGAGGTAGCAAATAGTGAAGTGGGTAGAAGTCTCGGACCGCGCTGCATAGACTGGTCCGCGAGCTACATAAGCAGGTTTCCGGGTTGCGAAAAAAATTATAACTACGAGTACAGTATGACACCTAAATTTCGCGAAGCAACAAATGACACCATAGGCCTTGTGGAAGGTGATTTGGGGGAGTCCATGGTGCATGTACCTACCGAGCTGCTAGATTTTGCCATTGTTACGCAAGTGTTCGAACATATACCATATTTCTGGAAAGCCATGCCAAATCTAGCACGTCTCGTTTCCCCCGGGGGCGTTGTTCTTTTTACAGTACCATTTTCATACCAATATCATTTAGTTCCAGGTGACTTTTATCGCTACTCACCTATGGCTATTATTCATATGTTTGAAAGCAATGGGTTTGCTGTTTGTCATTTTGCGTCTGACGGTCTGCGAGCCCTTCAGATGCAAGCATTAGCGCTAAATCTGGAGGACATCGAAAATCAAAACGAATATTTGAGCGAAACGCAATCCAAATGGTCGTTGACTGTCGGTGCTTCGAATTATTATATGGTCGCACAGAAACTATTACCCGGGTCTGATGTATGCACTTTAGGTCACATTGATAAAATAACAAATGAACTGACCAAGAAAGATGTTATCGGCAAAGGGGGATTCTGGCCATTAAAAGTCAGTGGACAGGAGGCATTCAGTGGATCGTCGACGGTGAAGGGTTAATATGGCTTACACTGCTACCTTGATTCGATGACTTCGTCGTTGGTAACTCTAATACTGATTGTTTCCGAAGTATTCAGCTGCATATTTCGGGGCTTAAATATCAACATGGAGGCTGTTATTGTTGGTCGGTATTGGAGGGTTGGTGGGGAAGGTTGAACTGGCCAACAAAAACCTGTGGGTAGGAAAAGATACAATAGTCTCTAAATTGCTTAGGGATTCAGAAGGTAGGGGTGACCGTGGTCATACGTAGAAGGGTAAAATGTGTATGCGTACGAGCAGTTCAAGTGCAACAATCCTTACTTCCTAAACAGCCAACTTAATAATGTCCTATGTCGCGATCCGTGAACACTAGAAGATTGAATTTTGATATGGGTCAGACTTCAGGTCAGGCCTAAAGATTTGCCCGCCACAAAAACAGTATCGTGTAGCATAGGTACTTTGTGTGTATATAATTGTATCGATTGTGAGCATGATTAAAAGTGAATTTTGTATCTATAAACACCACTACGTTGCATGTAATGATTGTGTAGTTGTTAGTATTGCCCAAAAGTGACATCTATACACAGAACTGGTCTTATAATGGAGGATAGAGGTCAATAAATGTGAAAATAGCGACTTAATGCACATCGAGTAGAATAGGATTTCATGACCTCGGCTAGGAAGCACAGTGGCTTGCAAATGCAAGTTGCGTACTTGCGATGACTGCAATAAGTGTATGCGATGTGGATGTCAGTGTAGAGGTGAAGAAACAGAGGCTAGTCGCAATCTGAAAAGGGGGGCGGACCCATAGTAGTACTCTAGCATAACAGTACATACATAGGCAATCAAAATCACTAAAAGCACAGCAGTTAAACGGACGACATAGAAGTTCCCAGCTGAGTATCTACCATATATAGAAATAGAGGCAATGAATGCTAATAGGTCAGTAAAGTATGGCGTTGTGTATAGTAGTAGTCTACAGCATCAGATTAGTAGCGACGGAGAACTATCCTGAGGACTACCACTAAAAGCACAGCAGTTAAACGGGCGACATAGAAGATCTCAGTTGAGTATCTACCACATATATGAAAATAGAGGCAATGAATGCTAATAGGACAGTAAGGTATGGCGTATTGTATAGTAAGTAGTCTACAACATCAGATTGGTAGCGACGGATAACTATCCTGAGGACTTTCCGTCAGAAGTACTCATCAAGAAGTTGCGTATCAGAAGACTAAGGTGAAGAACCAAGAAAGCAGGCGTTGATGTAGAAGCCACGTCACATATGGATAGCAATACGAGGCGGTCAACACCATTACGGCTCGGATAGACTCGGACGACCAGCAAACGGAGCAGGGACACAATCGCAAACGACCATACACAAAATCTGAGCTCTTACACACGTCCAACGGATAGTTTATCTAACTTTCTATGGTTGCTTCGCGGTATATGCTGTCTATTTCGTGTAGGAAATTATATACTAGCTATTCAGAGTGTTACAATAGTTATCCAGTATAATTGGCTGTACATATGTACTACAACAGCATATGAACACACAGTCAATTGTCCTTGCTTATGCGGTCGATGGGCATTGAATGCACATACGCTTGCACATACGCTTGCTACCTATGAGTGTTAATTTTGCTCATATATGACGAGTTTGAACTCTGAGGGGTTGCATGTGGTGATATAAAGACGAGATAGGAATTCAACAACGAAGGAACTATCGCTTTATCGCCAATGTAGGCTATCATACCGGGGTTTGTAGGTTGTATCCATACGAACCGTCTAATTTGTCGGGAGTGTGTTCTAACATATGGTCTTTTGTCGTTTCTGGGGCTTTAGGATAATAATGTAAGTAAAAAATTGGGCCCCATACCTTTCCCGGATTTATCAGAATCAAGACATGTTCGTTGCAATTGTAATTCGGTAGGAGATACAGGACAAACAGGTGCCTATGTCCTAGGGACATAGGACAGGTTCATGAGACCGTACTGGACAATACGACAAGTCTGCTTACTCCAATTAGGGTACGCATTATTGTCGTTTCCACCTATTCTGTCAATCACCCTCCGGTTAGCGGCAGCTAACAGGCCGGATTCAACCGACGTAAACTTTCTGAATTTGAGAGGTGTTAAGACTGCGACCACTACACCTGCGACGGAGTCTTGCGACTGCGACTCTGGCCTGCGACAATACGCCTGAGGCTTTCGCCTGCGACCACTGAGTCTGCCGCTCTTGCCTGGAGCGAGCCGCACACGTCTTGAATTTCCGAGAGAAAAAAAAAACACAATTCAAAGAATATCCAATAAAACACGGCTGGGGCGCCACAGATACCAAAAGCGATTCTTTAAAGAGGGTAGCTAGTAAATTGTGGATATATCCGCACAGGGTGAGCTGAGGGCTGAGGGCTGAGGGTGAAGGGTGAGATTTCACGATAGACTCTTTCTCCCTCACTTTCACTCAACACACACACACAAATACGCACTGTTGTTCAGTCACACACGCTCACACATAAAACACACTCACCCACCGGGGAGAGGGGGCGGGGAAAGCCCCCCCCCCCGGCCTTTTTTTATAAAAACAACTTTTCTTTTCAGCCGTCAACAAATAACGGTCTAGCGTACCCACAAAAGTATGCTCTATTTTTTGAAACAAAATTCAGTTTCGGATCCCTCAGGGACCTCTTTGGGGCCTACAAATGAGGAAAAAACGTTCCGGACAGAAAGCGTTCCGGACAGATTTCAAGTTCAATAAAAGAAATAGGGACTCTACAGCTACGCTTTCGGTGATGAACATCAGACAAAAACTTCATATGAACACGATAAATTCTGACAGAATCTTTGATTCAAGATGACAGATATCATTGCTCGATCTCAGTTAGTTGTACAGATACCATACAAAAACTGGTTACCATTTCATCGCAATAGCGTAGTGCGAACGGATTTAATAACATATATGGATATGATCAATTTAGTAGGCTGATGCGTTGGAATATACTTATAGTGATGCTTGACAGGATTGATATTACCTCATGTCTCGGAATTGGGGAAAGTATCTACTGATACTTCCGTTACAAAACCAAATATTGATCGAAGTCAGTGTGCTCTTCATAAACAGAGTACTACTTTTTTACTCCTATTTGTATTACATTGCGAGCAAGTATTGCCTTACATAGTGTTGCAGTATATATACAAGCGCACTACTAAACAAAATTGAAAGTTTGGTGAGGTAATCCAATACGTTCTCACAAATGTGCGATTGCTGGTAGATCTGCCATACCCTGATATCAACCAGCACTATGCATCACGACGACTTTCATAATCTGTGCCGCATGTATGTCTCATCGTTTAGTGTAGTACATATACAAATTGTTAGGGATAATATTATTTATTTCAAAAATGACAAGTATGTATGTTACAATATATGGACATATGGTATGGCTCTCATAGTCGCTGTAGTGGTTCAGGAAAGATTGATGGGAAAAAGTGGTCAGTAAATTCCCGCTTAAAGCTTGGGCCAAGTGAGTCGACAATGGAAGATATGCGCTGAGTCAATTCGGGCCGGTGTTGACAAAACACTGTTACTATCGAATGTTCCATATATTCGCTTGCTGACCTACTATGTAGAGTACCCACCTCTGTGGTACGGATCGGGTCTGCGCCGTGTAGTGCCGCGGAATGAGTTAGTGCAGAATATGAAATACCGAGAAGGACCAATTTATTCGTCATAATCCGGTCGAGGAGCGAGGATGGGGGTAAGCCAATGCCGCACCAAACCACGGATAAATTCGGTATGTGTTGGCTGGCCTGGATCGGAAGTATCACAGGCGGAACCAACAAGCGCGATGATTTGGTTTGAACTGAAATTTGGAAGTAGTACTTCAACAGCGTGATTAACCTGGGGAACATCTGTTGATGTGTCAGGGACGGGTGAGGGTACGGTGGTTCTTCAACATGCTGGAGAAAAGATCCAAGGTGTTCGTGGAGGGTCCAGATACCGTGGAAGTCGTGGCACTCTTGTATTTGCTGAAGGATGTCAGGGCCAATGGGCGGCAGTTTTGGGCCTACCAGAATGCGTCGAATCAGTTGTTGGATGTAGGTAAAGTGGCTGGTAGTGAACTTGTGGCTACCGGGGCAGACAGGGCAGAGACAGCCGTCGATGCGGTAGTCGAGCAATGTGAACATATACGTATTCGTTACAATCATAGCACAGAGCCGGATTGATGTAGACTCCAAGCAGCGATTGAAGCTGTCGTGTCTGGCTGTGTCTCGGTTTGAGGTTGGCGGTTTACCCATAACCAGTTGGTAGTAGTATTGGCGCCCGGCCATTGCCGCGATCGCCTTGTTGGTCCAACGGTTTGTTGAGTTCTTCATGATGTCGTCACAACGTTGGCAGAGGGCTACACAGTCGGGTGTACACCCGCCCGTGGTTTTGTGTACAGTTTTCAGGTGAGCATAGATACTGTACGGGAAGCGCAGTGATGGTTTGTCGTGGGCCCAGGCGGGTTGCGTCAGAGGGGTAAGTGGATTTCCGAGGTAGTCCGCGAATGGTCGCGTGGGGAGCAGGCCGCAAAAGTGAAGTAAGTTTGTTTGTTGTTTGGGAAACCGAGGGTATTTAGTGCCCGTGATGATGGCTGCTGCTTGGATGAGTGCTGAGTCAAAGCGCTCAAACAGGGGGTCCAACGCATCCTTCCATATAGGCGGAGCCCAGGCAATAATGTTCAGGCCATATGTAGCCGTGGATAGGATGAATGTTTTGAACATCACCAGTCGGTTGCGGGGGTGTCGCCAGCTGAAGCCATGGAAGCCATAAGCGTGGAAAGAGGCGATACCCAGTGACAATGCTGCTGTAGTAAACACATCAAAATACGATACTAAAACCTACTGAGTCTCCCTGAGGCTCAGTGCGGTGTATTTATTCTTATATTTGAGTGTCTACGTGGTCTACAAATAATTCACCTCGTGTGAATTAATTGTAAACTAATTCTAACTCCACACCGACAGTGGTTTAAGGGGACTTTTACCACACTCCCCTCAAGCTCAAGTGTCACCAGTGATTGAAGAGCTTCAAAATAAATGACCTCTTGAACTATTGAAATTTAACATATAAAACTAGTAGTGTAAATTAAACAATATATATATATATATATAAACTTATGAAATCCTTCTGCTGGGTAATTTCGTGCCTTGGATACTGGTCTTTTGAACCATCCCGGCTGTGCTGGTATATTTTCACCCCCCCCAAAAGCTAGGGTATCCGCTGGTATGTTTTCACCCCCCCATAAGCTAGGGTATCCGCTGGAGTTATACTCGCCTATAAGCTCGAGTTGTGGAATCGTCGTTCGCCTCTACACCGTTGTGAAATCTCACGAGGAGAGACAAAACTCCGATCCGGAAGTAGATGATAGACATCTAGTATTCATCAACGTAACGTTGGAATTATTGTTGTTGTGCCGCTTTCTTCTTCTGCCGAGTTTGCTCGGCTTTGTGGTATGCCGCGATGTCATTCGGATCATCAAAAGCTTCGGCTGACTCCCAAGTTGGATTACCATCCCGCCAGCGAACCAAGTATTTTGTATTCCCTGTGGAATCATTCTGTCTATGTCGAATGATGTAACGGAACGAGGAACTATC